GCAGATGGGACCCAGGTAAAAACATAAAATTCATAAATTCATATATTCCTTATATACATAGCTGGGGAGGTAATTTTATACAATATTTTAAATAATTTCATGCAGGAAACAAAGTTTGTGCACACTGAACCATTAAAAATAAAGATGATGTTATCTCAGTTATCCATGTAGATAATTTTAGATTTTGGAATACAGTTGTCCCTCCACATCTGCAGTTCAGATTTTGGAGGATTTCAAATTTTGGAATTTGCAATAAGGGAATGTATTGCCACTTCTGTGGCACAACTGGTATCATTCAAACTGTCACCATATTTCCTCACACTGAAGAAAATAACTGGCAATTAAATAAGTAACTTTTGTAATTCACTTGTATTTGTTCAAAGAAGTTCATAGGTGTTATCTCATGAATCCTTACATACATTCCATAAAGTCGGAATTATTGTAGTTACATCACAAACAGAGTACAGAGGGCGTTGATCAGTTAAAGCTAAGGCAGCATGTTGGCATACCCACCAAGTGAATGTATGCTGAGAGGTGAATTTAGTTATTTATTAGTATTTTATTGGCTACAAGCCCCTTCAATTGCCCTAAAACAACATAAAACTTCCTGGTTCACAGTTCATCGACCACTGTCTACTCCCACTCTTTAAAATTTATTTATATATTGTGTGTTATTATTCCCCCCTCTCCCATTGCAAACCTAAATCAATTTTATTGCAAATGAAGTCTTGTTTATGCAACCAGCTCTGCCAAGAATAAGGCCTTCACTCCACATAACATTTTAAGTTAGCAGTACTGCAATAAAGCTGACAAATAGGAGGATGCATGGAAGATTTATGGGAAGGTTACTAGGTTATCAGTAACGAAATGTAGCCATAGCAAAATTACCCAAGGATGAGACATGTACGTGACTCATACACAACAAAGGAATTCCCTTAGTAGTCTCCTTGGTTTTAAGTTTGAATCCTATTACAACAGTAATTTGGTCTAGGTCGGGTTTTTTAAAAAGCCAATTACAAATCTGAGCAAATGAGATGTAAAACTTTGGAATGTTCTATCTTCTTAAGTCTTTATTTCAAAATACAGGAAGTTCCCGGATTACAGACAAGTTAGATTCCCAGGTTACATACAAGATTTGTTCTTAAATTGAATATGTATGTCAAGACATGTACATTTTTAAAGTGTTAACTCCAGCCCTATATATAAGGAGAGGGAGATAGGGAAGTTAACACTCCTGAGACATTTGTTTTGCTGTTTATGCCCTTGTTCAGAAGATTTCACCTCGCTTTCTATCGCTGCAAGAATTGGATTTTGAACAACTGGCATGTTGTGAAAACAAGGATTGGTGAGAAAGTTTGGTGGAGACACCTTTTTCCCATGATAACTTTTTCAGGAGTGAATTTCCCTTTCCAGGGGTAGATTTCTCTCACTTCTTGTTATCTCACCTTCATTCTTAACTATGAGTTGCATGTAAGTCAGATGTCTGTATTATTTTATTGTCTAAAAATTAGTTTTTGCTTTTAAATTGAAATATATGGGAATGGAGAATGAGAAAATTTATAAACACACATTTTACAGTAAAGCTATTTGGATAAGCTGCCATCTTCCACCCCAATCATGCAAAGTGTTTATGATTTGCATTTGTACTAAATAAATCAATCAATCACTGTAGTCATTTGGCTCATACACTGTGACATCCTTTGGGCTTAATCCAAAAAGAGTATCTCAACTATATTTGCAGTATAGTCCTATACCTGTTTATCATAAGTAGCTTTTACTGAGTTCAATGGGGCATTCCCATATAAATCTGAATTGAATTCCTAAAATAGAAATCTAAACTAATTTGGCTTATGCTACCAAAGCATTAAGAGTTGACAATAGCCTCAGTTTTTATTAAGGATATTAAAATAAATCTGATGTAATAATACTATTAAGTTACATAACAACTGTGCCTTCCACTTACATTACTGAAAGACTTGTTTGTTCCCATTTGCACTACACATGTAACATTTCTTCTTGCTCAAATAATCCCAATAGCATAATCTTAAATTTCAAATCACACTTAAGAAAGCTGTGACTGTTTGCTTCCCTGTCTTAAAAAACATTTCCTTATTTCTGGTGGTAAAATTGAGTCAGTGTGGTGCAGTGGTTTGAGAATTTGACTAGGACTTTGGAGACCAAGTTTCAAATCCGCACTCAGCGATGGAAATCTTCTGAGTGTTTTTGACAAGACATATTTTCTCAACCTTAGAGGAAGGCACTGGCCAAAAACCTCTTGGAAGGGTTGCCTTTTGATTGACATATGTCGCAAACGACTTGAAAGCACGTAATAACAAAATTTTATATATAAATCTTTACAAGCCTTCAGTCTATTTTTTTATCATTTTGAAGGGAAGGCTTTTTATAAGCTATCAAACTCAAGAAGTTACAATTATATTTTTAGTTTTTACAAAATGTAATAACCGCTCAACATAAAGGTTTTATGGAAAAACAAGGGTTTACTGTACAAATATGTTTGAAAGCTTGTGAATCAACAGTGTTGAAATCATCCTGCCAAAAACAGAAGCCCCTGTGCAGTGATTCAATAGGAAAACTAATTTGTTTCTCTATCAATACTCCACATTTATTGTGTGCTGGACAAACTAAGACTCCACCTAGGCCCCTTCCACACAGCTGTATAAAATCCACATTGAACTGGATAACAGTGTAGACTCAGATAATCCAGTTGAAAGCAGATATTGCGGATTATCTACCTTAAATTCTGGATTATATGGTTTTGTAGATTATGGCCCCTTCCACGCTGCCATATAAAATCCATATTATCAAAGCAGGCAATCCACATAAAAGTCTACACTGCAATATAATCCAGTTCAAAGTAGAAAATCTGGATTTTATATGGCAGTGTAAGATCCTTCCACACTGCCATGTAACCCAGAATTTCAAGTCAGATAATCCACAATATCTTTCAACTTGATTATCTGAGTTGACACTGCTATATAATCTAGTTCAATGTGGATTTTATACAGCTGTGTGGAAGGGGCCATAGAAGGGGGCTCATATAATCCAGTTCAAAACAGATAATGTGGATTATCTGATTTGATAATCTGGTTATATGGCAGTGTAGAAGGGGCCTAAGGCCCCTTCCACACAGCTGAGTAAAATCCCACATTTTCTGCTTTGAACTGGAATATATGGCAGTGTGGACTCAGATAACCCAGTTCAAAGCAGATGTTGTAGGAATTTTTGCCTTGATATTCTGGGTTATATGGCTATGTGGAAGGGCCCTAGGGCACAGTTAACCAGTTTTCCTTTCTCACCAAGGTTTAACATGCCTTTTCTCTTAGGACTCATGCAATCCCTTTCAAACATTAACTTTCCAAACTGTTTTCATTCACCTACAAAGGAGCTGATTCTCTGGCAAGGCTAAGTGATCGATCCAAAACCATTGTTCCTCTCTATCATTCAGCAATAGTCCATGAATCATCTCATGAAATGCTGTGTAGCCACTTAATAAAATAAAATAAATATAAAATAAGACTTGCTTTTTGAAAGGGGAAACAGTGGGCATATATGCAGGAGAAAAGCCTTCCAGAGAAAGGTTGGCAGTTGTTGTTTCCCACCCCAGTTACACAAAGACTTAACCTAGGGCCCTTCCACACAGCCATATAACCCATAATATGAAGGCAATAATTCACCCAATAACTGCTCTAAACTGGGTTTTCTGAGGACCTCTCCACACAGCCATCTAACCCAGAAAATCAAGATGGAAAATCCTGAATATCTGTTTCGAATTGGCTTGCCCTTCCAAACAGACATATAACCAAGAATATCAAGGCAGAAAATCCCCAATATCTGCCTTGAACTGGGTTATTTGAGGGCCCTTCCACACAGCCCTATAACCCAGAATATCAAGGCAAAATTTCCCCCAATATCTGCTTTGAACTGGGTTACCTGAGGGCCCTTCCACGCAGTCCTATAACCCAGAATATCAAGGCAAAATTTCCCCCAATATCTGCTTTGAACTGGGTTACCTGAGGGCCCTTCCACACAGCCATATAACCCAGAATATCAAGGCAGAAAATCCCCAATATCTGCTTTGAACTGGATTACCTGAGGGCCCTTCCACACAGCCATATAACCCAGAATATCAAGGCAGAAAATCCCCAATATCTGCTTTGAACTGGGTTATCTGAGGGCCCTTCGACACAGCCATATAACCCAGAATATGAAGGCAGAAAATCCCCAATATCTGCTTGGAACTGGATTACCTGAGACCCCTTCCACACAGCCATATAACCCAGAATTTCATGACAGAAAATCCCCAATATCTGCTTTGAACTGGGTTATCTGAGGGCCCTTCCACACAGCCTTATAACCCAGAATATCAAGGCAGAAAATCTGCCTGGAACTGGATTATCTGAGTCTAGTTCAAAGCAGAAAATGTGGGGTTTGATTCAGCTGTGTGGAAAGGGCCCACAGGATCCTTTCTTCAAAGCACTTCGGATCCCCGCCCTTCGAGGAGCTTCCTCATTCGCCTGGCTTGTGAGGCGCATAGATCTGTATGCTAGAAAACACACCCCACCCCTTCCTTCAGTGTGGGTTTGGTGCCTTCCTCGAGAGCCGTTAGAGCCGCCCTCCGCCGTCGAGGCTGAGCGGCCTGAAGCCTTCCTCGCCCTCAGCCGGGCCTCTGAAGGCCAAGCCGGTGCTCCTCGGGCCCTGTGAGTGAGCACAGAAGCAGCCCCTTCCCCTCGCCCTGCCTCCCTGCCTCCCTGCCCTCTTGCGATGGCTGCCTCCGCCGCTCCTTCTGCAGGCCCCTCGGCAGACCACAGGGCCCTCTCCGCCGGCGCCGCGCCTCCTCCTCCGCCTCCTCCGCGGAAACAGGCGCCCCCCCCAATCCCCCCAGGGCCCCCTCGGCCTCGAAGGCCTCCCCGCAGCCCAGCCGCCCTGCCCCCGCTCGCCCTTCGCCCTCCCGGCCCGGAGACGGGCAAGTCCTGACTTACCTGTCATTACTTTCTACGCCATCTTGGATCCACTTGTCAACGTCCGCGCAAAGCATTGTGGGCACGGAGAGGGAAACGGGCCCTCCTCCTCCTCCCCCCTCCCTCCAGGCATTTCTCTTCGCCCAGCAGGGAAAAGTTGGGCCGCTGAGGGAGGCAGGGAGGGAAGAGGGCTTTCCTTCTTTGCTTCATGGCTGCCAGGCCCCAGAGGCAGCCAAGCGGGGCCTAGCACTATTCCAGCTCCCGAAGACTACTCTTCTTTCTGTTGAGACTCCATACTGTCGAATGAAAGGCAGTTGGATACCCACTTTGTCTGGCCTTTCTAACAGGCCCTCTTTGGCAGAGAAGCCTAAGTCTGGGGGCCCTTCCATACAGCTGAATAACATCCCACACTGAAACGGATTATGTGGCAGTGTGGACTCAGGGCCCTTTCAGGCAGCCTTTTAACTGGCCATTTCCACTCAGCTGAATAAAAACCCACATTTTCTGCTTTAAACTGGAAGATATGGCGGTGTGGACTCACTTCTTGGGAGGAGAGCAATGACCAATCTCGATAAAATAGTAAAGAGTAGAGACATCACACTGGCAACAAAGATCGACATTTGTTGTTGTTCATTCGTTCAGTCGTCTCCGACTCTTCGTGACCTCATGGACCAGCCCACGCCAGAGCTCCCTGTCGGCCGTCACCACCCCCAGCTCCTTCAAGGTCAGTCCAGTCACTTCAAGGATGCCATCCATCCATCTTGCCCTTGGTCGGCCCCTCTTCCTTTTACCTTCCACTTTCCCCAGCATCATTGTCTTCTCTAGGCTTTGCTGTCTCCTCATGATGTGGCCAAAGTACTTCAACTTTGTCTAGTATCCTTCCCTCCAATGAGCAGTCGGGCTTTATTTCCTGGAGGATGGACTGGTTGGATCTTCTCGCAGTCCAAGGCACTCTCAGAACTTTACTCCAACACCACAGTTCAAAAGCATCTATCTTCCTTCGCTCAGCCTTCCTTATGGTCCAGCTCTCACATCCGTAGGTCGGCATAGTTTTTTTTTGTCATGTCACGAGCGACTTGAGAAACTGCAAGTCGCTTCTGGTGTGAGAGGATTGGCCGTCTGCAAGGACATTGCCCAGGGGACACCCAGATGTTTTGATGTTTTACCATCCTTGTGGGAGGCTTCTCTCATGTCCCCGCATGAGGAGCTGGAGCTGATAGAGGGAGCTCATCCCACACTCTTCCCCAGATTCGAACCTGCGACCTGCTGGTCTTCAGTCCTGCCTGCACAGGGGTTTAACCCACTGCGCCACCGGGGGCTCCAATTGTAACTATGAGGTTCTACCATACACCATGGCTGCATCTACAGTAGTCTTCAAACCCAGGGGATGCCAGGATGTGGGTTTTTTTATGTTTTACCATCCTTGTGGGAGGCTTCTCTCATATCCCCGCATGAGGAGCTGGAGCTGATAGAGGGAGCTCATCCGCCTCTCCCCGGATTTGAACCTGCGACCTGCTGGTCTTCAGTCCTGCCGGCACGGGTTTAACCCACTGCGCCACCGGGGGCTCCAATTGTAACTATGAGGTTCTATCATACACCATGGCTGCATCTACAGTAGTCTTCAAACCCAGGGGACGCCAGGATGTGTTTTTTTTATGTTTTACCATCCTTGTGGGAGGCTTCTCTCATGTCCCCGCATGAGGAGCTGGAGCTGATAGAGGGAGCTCATCCACTCTCTCCCCAGATTCGAACCTGCGACCTGCTAGTCTTCAGTCCTGCCGGCATAGGGGTTTAACCCCTGCGCCACCGGAGGCTCCATCCGCATAGTTAAAGCAATGGTATTCCACGTAGTCACCTATGGATGTGAGAGCTGGACCATAAGGAAGGCTGAGCGAAGGAAGATAGATGCTTTTGAACTGTGGTGTTGGAGGAAAGTTCTGAGAGTGCCTTGGACTCCGCGAGAAGATCCAACCAGTCCATACTTCAGGAAATAAAGCTCGACTGCTCATTGGAGGGAAGGATAGTAGAGGCAAAGATGAAGTACTTTGGCCACATCATGAGAAGAAAGGAAAGCTTAGAGAAGACAATTATGCTGGGGAAAATGGAAGGAAAAAGGAAGAGGGGCCGACCAAGGGCAAGATGGATGGATGGCATCCTTGAAGTGACTGGATTGACCTTGAAGGAGCTGGGGGTGGTGACGGCTGACAGGGAGCTCTGGCGTGGGCTGGTCCATGAGGTCACAAAGAGTCGGAAACAACTGAACGAATGAACAACAAGTGGACTCGGCTAACCCAGTTCAAAACAGGTATCACAATCAGATACAGTGAAGACATCTGCCCTTGCGCTGTGCTACTCACAAAGTAGGGAACTTATTCTGGGAAATATTTATTTGACAATAAAAATCCCAAAAATCAAAAAAATGGATATGATATACACAGAGGCGGCCCTAGGTAATTTTTAACGGTAAGCAAACAGTATTTTGCCCCCCCCCCCCCAACCAATCACTGATATATATTTTCTGTTCTGTGTGGCATATTTGGTTCAATTCCATCATTGGTGGAGTTCAGAATGCTCTTTTATTGTAGGTGAACTATACATCCCAGTAACTACAACTCGCATATGTCAAGGTCTATTTTCCCCCCAAAAGCGCCTCAAGAGCGCCCCTGGACAAAATCAACTATACAGCAAATGCTTACTTTGCGTAATGGGTTGAGCCGCCCCTGGATATACAGAAAAGCTGGCAACTCTCTGCCTGGCCGAATACAAAACCCTTTTGAAAGATCACCAGCGCACACCCACTCCACAGTGCTCCTAAGCCCTTGGCTTTTATGAGGTGAAAGAGTGTGGTTGTATCAGCCCTAAGGCTTGTGTTACTGAGGTTCCCTTTTAAAACTGTTTCTTTAAAGGTACGCTGCCACCATTAGTTTCTTCTACACTGCTTAAAGTTACTTTGGAAATCTTCAAGCATAGAGACACACTTGAGCACTTGAGTCAGGTTTTGATGAACAATAATCAACAAAGTTTATTATTTAGAACAGGAACAAATGCAGTTATTATCTTGGCTGTTACAGAAAGTTGTGTCTTAAAATCGTGATGGTTACATGAATGGTTCTATCTTGGTTACTTAAGAGAATCTTCTCTCCCTCCAAAACAAAACAAGAAATCTAACAGGATGGTGTCTCTGCTAAAGATTATTCAGTAGCCCAGATAGATCGCACCTGATACTATCCTGCTACTACCCAGCTAATCTATTAGCTGCAAGTCTGCTTCAACTACCTTGCTAGCAAACTTCTGGCCAGACTTAGGCCTTTACTTCTAACCCTAACACCACTCCACTCCTAAACACCCTTTCTCTTCAAACTCCAACTCCTCCAGGGATCTCAAAAACCTCCTTTTAAAAGCAAGTTTTTTCCTCCGCCTCCTCTGACTTGGCTAATCACATCCCTCTCTCCTTTTCCCTCCAAAGGCTGATTTAAATACACATGCCCCCTCCTGGAAAATGAGCCACCAAAATGGAGTCCCTCGGCACCTTCTTCTAAGATGGCTGCCGACTCCTTGGGTCTATCATTCTAGGCCTAAAATAGGCCTGACTGGAAGTAGATTCGCTACACATGCCCAGTGTGGAACACATCTCACCATGCTAAAACAGTGGATGTGGCTCTTAATGAGACATGCTGCATTATCACGGGGTGTCTGCGCCCTACGCCACTGGAGAAATTACACTGTTTAGCCAATATTGCACCACCTGACATCCGCCAGGGTGTAGCAACCAATAGTGAAAGGACCAAGGCAGTGACATCTTTGGCCCACCCCCTACTTGGATATCAGCCAGCACGCCAATAACTTAAATCAAGAAATAGTTTTCTAAGATCTACAGAGACACTCGCTGGAACACCTCAGCAAGCAAGAGTCCAAAAGTGGCAGGCTCAAATCCAGAACCTCAATCTGTGGCCGATACCAAATGAGAGACTCCCTCCTAGGCACACAGAAAACTGGGCAACTTGGAAGGCGCTGAACAGACTGCGTTCTGGCACCACAAGATGCAGAGCCAACCTTAAGAAATGGGGCTGCAAAGTGGAGTCCACGACATGCGAATGTGGATAAGAGCAAACCACAGACCACCTACTGCAATGCAACCTGATCCCTGCCACATGCACAATGGGGGACTTTCTTGCAGCAATACCAGAGGCACCTCAAGTGGCCAGCTGCTGGTCAAAGGACATTTAATAGAATACCAAGTCTGCAAACTTTGTGTTTTGATTGTTTGTTTGTTTTTAATGCAATACAATTGTTTTGGTTTACTCCTGTCACGATAAATAAACAGGTATTGTGGGATTTCCTGCCTTGGTATTCTGAGTTATATAGCTGTGTTGAAGGGCCCCGAGAATATAGAATATCAAGGCAGATAAACCACAATATCTACTTTGAACTGAGTTATCTGAGTCCACACTGCCAGTTTTGAGCAGATAATGTGGGATTTTATACAACTGCATGGAAAGGGCCTCTGGCCCCTTCTGCACTACAGTACAGATCACCAAAGCAGATAATCCAGCTTTGATCTAGTTAATCTAGTTCAAAGCAGATCATGTAGATTATCTGCTTTGATCATCTGGATTATATGGCAGTGTAGAAGAGGCCTGGCAGTGTAGACTCATAATCCAGTTCAAAGCAGATAATCTGGGAACCTTTCCACACAGCTGCATAAAATCTACATTTAACTGGATTTTATTTATTTATTTTAAACATTTATATTCCACCCTTCTCACCCCAAAGGGGACTCAGGGCGGAGCACAACATATATATGGCAAGCATTCCATGCCGGAACATAAAATAACTATAAACACTAAAATCAGTTATATCTACTTTAAAATCAGTTGTTTACAACCATCTATACGGCAGTGTGGACTCAGATAATCCAGTTTAAAGCAGATATAGTGGATTATAAAGGTTGATATTCTGAGTTCGATGACTGTGGAAGGGCCTTGGGATCAGATCCTGAGATACAGGGCAGTGTAGATCCAGCCTCCATTTGTTGGCTGCAATGTGTGGGTGTGTTGACAAAATGTAATGAGAAATGACAATGTTTTAAAATAT